GAAAAATTAGCCCTTGTAGTCCAAGCTACTTGGGAAGTGGAGACAGAAGGATTGCTTGAGCCCAGGAATTTGAGGTTGCTGTGAACTAGGCTTAAGCCATGGCACTCTGGCCCGGGTGACAGAGCCAAGGCTTTGTCTCAAAAAAAATTTTTTTCCCTAAAATTTGCTGAATTAAAGCATATTCTTCCCATTCCTCACTTGAAATCAGATGGTGAGCGTATTTTAACTTATCTTTTAAAAAAGGGAAAAAGAAAAGAATTTTACTTAAAACCTTTAACTAAGGAAAAAGCACCCACTCCTGCTATAGTTTCTATATCTTCATAGTAAAGATGCTGGAAGACATTCTACACGTAATGGGCAATGTCAGAAAGGTTTAATTCCCGGACTCTTGTACAGTCCATAGCCTGGCACTAGCTTTCTCCCTTGTAGAATGAAAATTTAAATTGGCCATCCTGGCAAACAGAGAATGTTGGAGGTTTTCTTTTCTTTTTTTGAGACAGAGTCTCACTTTGTCACCCTCAGCAGAGGGCCATTGCATCACAGCTCACAGCAATCTCAAACTCTTGGGCTTAAGCGATTCTCTTGCCTTAGCCTTCCAAGTAGCTGGGACTATGGGCACCCACAATGCCTGGGTGTTTTTAGAGATGGGGTCTCGCTCTGGCTCAGGCTGGTCTTAAACTAGTGAGCTCAGGCGATCCATCTGCCTCGGGCTCCTGAGTGCTAGGATTATAGGCATGAGCCACCTTGCTCAGCCTAGAGGTTTTCCTATATAATAAAATCCCATTTATCACTCATTCATCAGTATGCATGTCTCCACATAGAGATGTCTGTAAGTAAACTCAACAATACATCAGCTGGGACTGTCCAGAGACTGCTGGTGTATGTGGGGGGGGGGGAGGGTTGGAGGAAGGAGTGGCTGAGCACAGGCAGTTGGATAACAACTTCTGGGTGTACATTTCTGTATTGTTTTTGTGGGGGGTTTAATCAATGAACACATATTAAGTTGCAAAAAAAAGAAATCTGTATTTTTTTATAAATTTTTTGAGACAGAGTTTCACATTGTCACCCTAGGTAAAGTACTGTGGCATCTGAGCTCCCAGCAACCTTAAACTCTTGGGCTCAAGCGATTCTCTTGCCTCAGCCTCCCAAGTATCTGAGAGTAGAATAGAAGTAGTTTTTCTATTTTAGTAGAGATGGGGTCTCACTCTTGCTGATGCTGAGGCTGGTCTCCAACTCCTGAGCTCAAGCAATCTGCCTGCCTCAGCTTCCCAAAGTGCTAGGATTACAGGTATGAGGCACACCTGGTCAAAATTTTTTCTTTAAAGAAAAAAATAGAATATTGCTTTAAAAGTACCTCAAAGTGCTATAATTTAAAAGAACTGGCTGGATATGGTGGTTCATGTCTAGAATCCTAGCACTTAGGGAGGCTGAGGCAGGAGGATCACTTGAGGCCAACAGTTCAAGACCAGCCTGGGCAACACAGCATGACTCCATCTCTACAAAAAAAATCAGCTCAATGTGGTGATACATGTAGTCCCAGCTACCCAGGAGGCTGAGGCTGGAAGGTCACTTGAGCCCAGGAGTTAGAGGTTAAAATGAGATATGATTACAGCACTGTACCCAGCCTGGGTGAAAGTGAGACTCTGGACCCTATCTAGAAACAAAAACCTGAGTTGGGTGTGGTCCTCACTCCTGTAATCCTAGCACTTTGGGAGGCCAAGATAGGTGAATTGCTTGAGCTCAGACATTCAAGACCAGCCTAAGCAAGAGTGAGACCCCTGACTCTACTAAAACAAAAAAACAAAAACAAAAGAAAATACTAGGCTTGGCACCTGTGGCTCAAGTGGCTAAGGCGCCAGCCACATACACCTAAGGTGGCGGGTTCAAATCCAGCCCAGGCCCACCAAACAACAATGATAGCTACAACCAAAAAATAGCCAGGCGTTGTGGCGGGTGCCTGTGGTCCCAGCTACTTGGGAGGCAGAGGCAGGAGACTCACTTGAGCCCAGGAGTTGGAGG